AAAATGTCGTGGTGGCCCGGAGGTTTAAGACGCCCACTTCTCATGCATGAGGGTGCGGGTTCGAAACCTACCAACGGCAAGTACCAATGTGACTTTTTCCGAGTTATATGTACTTTCTAAGATTATTTAGACACCACTGACAAACGGTGAAGGAAAAACATCGTGAGGAAACCTGAACTTATAATTTCTAATTATAAGTTTGAAATCGCCAACCCGCATTGAGCAAGCGTTGTGATTAATGCTCTAACCTTCTCCGTGTGAGAAGAGGCTTTGCTCAGCAGTGGGCATTTATAGGCTGTTGATGATGACTCGTCTGTCAAATATGGTCACAGTAGGGCATGAAATGATTATTCCAGGCATCTTAGAGTATACAGAACTTGTAGCGTTTCTTATTCATTTTAATTCATGTAGACAAAGTGGTTAAGTCTCTTCACCAGGAATCTAACAATATTAACCTATTTGTGTGTTATTAAGTGACTGTTCACTTAGACTATTAGTTCTGTAATAAATAAGAAATGGAATTTGATGCTAATATTATTTCGTATTTTACACAGTCAATGAATAGTTTATCTTAATCAAATTAGGTTGAAGTACTTTTGATCTGAGTACTTAGATACGTAACTAAAAACGAGTTATTTTTTTGTGTAAAACTTTTCAGACAACTCGACAAACAACTGGTAGTTGAGTAATTAGTCTGAGTAGTATTTACACAGCTGAAAGACAAATCAAGTAAATGTTTTGACTTGTTCCTGTGTATCGAGTAATCGATATAAATTAATGCTAAGATGGCTTTCTCACTCTGGATTGATACTAAGAAATATGTGTTTCGAGAATATACGAGATAACTCAGTAGTACAGATTAAAATGTCTTGTTTATTGAAAAAATGCTATAATTAAAAAAGCAATAATTATTTTATCAACTGCGTTAAGAAATTTACTTCAATCCCCTCTTTTTTGAAGGTCTGTCGATCGGTTAATTAATATACAAAAACTAGTAAACACTTTTCTGAACACCGCATCAGAAACGGTTCAGCCAATCGCAAAATAAGCGCATCACAACATACATACATACATACATATAATTCAATGTGAGAAACTCCTTCTTTTTTTAAGTTGGTTTAAAATCAAAGAGTATGTATGAAAATATCAATAAATTTTATTTACCTCTTTGTATCTTAATGAGGGACAGCCCTGACGATATGCATGTCATTGTAAACGCATTAACTACTACTGCCCTTAAAAATGTTTGCTGAATATTTGCTTGCATTAACATCCTTGAATAAGTACGTCCCTGTGCCATGCAAATGCCTTGTTTCGACGTATATAAAGCGACACCTGCCAGTATTACAAATTTCAATCTCCTTTGAAATATTAATATCAGTACACATTGTATAACAAATGTTTTTGCAATATTGTCCAACATTATTAAACTGTGTTTGACAAGAAAACATTGGTTTAATCGAAGGGACATTTAACCAGAAAATGAAAATATTTCTTGTCCTTTTTCACAGTCAGAAACGCAATGAAGAGTGATCATAAATCATAAGTAATAAAATGTCATCTTAAGGCCCTCTGAATGAAATTGTTTTGTCGCCTTGGGCCCGGAATTTTCACCTCAATCACGCGTTACGTCTGTCGTCATGACTCAAGGCGACTATTGACACACTCACTACTGTTTCGTTAATTTAAAGTTAGACCAGGTTTTATTAAACTTCTTAGTTTTTGTTTTTAATCTTATTATAGTACTAATAGTTGTCAGCAATCTAAACTAAATATACATTGAGTCAACTCATTGTCAAGACAAAACTAAGTTATAATGATGATAGGTGATATTAAAAACAAACGCGAAAAATTGATAATGTTTCTAAAATAATAAAAATATCCCTAAAACTTTTAGCATTCAATTGCAAGAAGTGTGAATAAATAAATAAATAAATAAATAAACCGCAAAAATAATAACGATTAATAATAACAATAATTTAACCTCCGAACCGTCCTTTACTTTCACGAAATAAAAGAAAACGAAAGAATAAGCTGTCAATTTCAGATTGTTACCACAAAATACAGGGTGATTGTACATTGAACAAGACAGCAGTCACTTTAGTAAAGACAGACAATATGTCAAAGAACAATATAAGTTTCATAATATACTTTTTCTCCTGCGAATGGAACAAGATTTATAAATAAATGCTGGCGAAATTAGCTGCAAACAGTCTGAATGAAGATCGAAAGACAAATTTGTGTGAAACAATTGTCATGTCTCAGAGTTTATTGGTACTACGATATTGTTGAAGACATCTTTACGAGATCGTTAAAAGTTCCAGCTCTTAATAAGAAAGTTACTTGAATAGAAGTTGGTAAAATAATTGTTCAAAATTTCAAAATTGTTTTGTAAACGGACTGTGAGGTTTTATTGTTATGTCTTTGTTTTCATGTTCATAAAATGTCTATGCGTCTGTGTACCTTGTTAAATTTTTTTAACTTAAGATAGAATATGCTACCGATTTTATTAAACTAAAAGAAAAAAGCAATTAATACTAGCGGGATGTGAACGCGCAGCATAAGCTTATTCGAATTTTAAAATCTGATTTTATAACCTTTCTGTTTTAGCCATTATCAAAAACACAGTAGTTTTAAAAGTATATTTTTAATATTCCACATCAAAGAAACATATTAATTAAACAAAATAATGATAATATCTCCAAACAAAATACATGTCTCACAAAAATAAAACAAAACAAACAAAACAATGACATTTGGGTAGCCCGCCATCTTTATTAGAGGATAACTGTCAACCATAGACAAATGAGTTATTGGCAATAGAGGTATTGTCTCGCCAGTGACTGGGTAGTTTAGTTAATGATAGCGACTATTGTTTACAAAGGTTTGAGCTATAAACATGGCCTAACAGGTAGTAGAGCGATAGGTAAGATCAACGAAGATTGTAACCTTTAATTTCGGCTACCACCGGACCTAGTCTCAGGGCAGGACAAGAAACTCTTAAATAAACTTTATATTAGATAATCCCAGGGCGCCATGATTCTCTTCGTGGGGTATAAATAAATTCAAATAACACAAAGCTATACAGTATAAATTTACCAAAATATATTTAATTTAACACACACAATTAACCCATGTAATCAAATTACCAATTAATCCAAAGAACGGCACAAGTAATATACATACAGACGATGATCAGCTGATCATCAAATCATGCACCTTTAAATATATAATTATTACAAGTTACCCACTTATTTTCGTTAATTTTAATACAACTTTATCTGGAAGGAAGTGGGTAATTACACATATATAACAAAAATTCCAAATATACATGAATGGCAATATTTAACTATAAATATTTGGATTAAATACAGCAAAAACAGCTAATCTGTAACAAACATATCACCTTCGCAGGGTGATTGTCAATACCCTTATAAGTACATACAGTTAATAAACTATGTTACTTAACTTCTGAGACAGATATCCGGCGTGCCAGCACTACAACAGAGGATCTGGTGCACGACTGTAAGGATCTGCCTTCATCCGGTGACCTCGTATAAATCATGAGCATCTGAAGCCGTACCACGATGCTCCAGCTCGACTTCACGGGCAAAACGACAAATCAATTGATTGTCTACAATGGGGTAGACATGGATAAACTTTCTGCTGATACAAGGAATTTTCTCCTGATATAAAGAATTTTCTCCTGATATAAAGAATTTTCTCCAGATATAAAGAATTTTCTCCAGATATAAAGAACCTATAACAATGGGTACATCGTAAGAACACAATATAACCTATATTCACATCGCGAAGAAACGAATATCTATTTAATATTTTGTTTTAGAAACTTACCCAGAATCTGGGACGAAATACACACAAATATTAATTAATTCAGGTCTTTCACTGGACCTGCACGACAACTTTTTAATAAAATTATAAGACACAGCACTTCTTCAGTCTGATCTTCCTTGTTGTAGAAATCGATTTCGAAAAAGGACGGTTTCTACAAAACTCCTACATTTATACCCCCTATCTTTCGATTCCACTACTGATCGAAGCACCAAACATCACCATATTTGGTAATATTTTGCACGATCCACTTCCTGATCCGAAGAAATCTCTAGATTGTTCCAGATTACGATCTGTGAGACCCCTACTGTCAGAAAGTGTTATTACAAAATAATATTAGTGTGGAACTAGTGCCATCTATGTCACAGAGATAGCACTACTAACACTTGGTCGATATGAAAGGCAAGATCCAAGGTCGTTGATCATATTGCTATCGTCTATGTTAATTCGCAAAAGCGATGACAGATGGCGGTAATTAATATTTTATCCATTTTCCCTTATTTTGGGTTAACGTTATTTTTTTTTATGTTACAAGATTAAGATGATAATTATATATAGAGTTTTATCTATAACTTTTTTTCGCTAAATAGGCATGCTATTACTTTAATTATAAGAGTAATTTGACTAAATACTTTACTTAATACTTTTTTTAATCGATTCACCGTCGTTATATGCTGAGTTTAATAAGGAATAAACCTAAAACGAAATTAAGTATCTTACGTTCTTGTTCTTGTCGTGTTCTTGTTTTTAAATTTTAAATGTACTTTCCTATTTACACTAAAACAACAATAAATTATTACTCTGCGAATCAATGCCCGAGGTTCTGAGAACTTTCAATAATAGTAGTCCATATAATTAAAATAGTTTAAAAATAATAATTAAGTAATGTATCTATTAAAGTTTGTTGTTCTAATATGTAGTTCTAATTGTGTAACCCATAAAGAGTGGGTGTTCTATAACGCCTCCATCTAACCTTTCATAAGCCTAAGCATTGCATAAGCCGATAAACGAGCAGACGGATCACCTGATGGTAAGCCACCTGGAACACCAAAGGCATTACAAGTGCGTTACTGGCCTTTTGGGGATTAGGATTTAGAGGATCGTTGGGGATTCAGGAATTGGGGAGATTGGGGAAGGGGAGGGTAATTAGGCCTCCAGTAACCTCACTCATACGACGAAACACAGCGTTGTTTCACGTCGGTTTTCTGTGAGGCCGTGGTATCATTCCGGTCGAGTCGGCCCATTCGTGCCGAAGCATGGCTCTCCCACACTTATAAATATTTTATTAATTCAAATTCAACACAATATTTAATAAATGACAATGCACTTATCTATTTTGTAACTAAACAATACGAAGAAGTATTGTTACGTAACGCCTCTTCGTCAATCAGAGTCGGCCACCACTCAGCTCCATCTTGCAACCTCGGATTGAAAGTCGTCAATCATACCAATGTTAGTTCAACACTATATCAGTATCTAGGTCACGATGAAGACAAATTTGCCATGATAATGCGTAATGTGGTTTGCAACTAGTATTTTTCTAGTATTTTTGTAATGGTTTGTGTATAATTATGTTTCAATTACAATGATTATTTTATAAAAAGCACACACGCAAAGCGAATTCAGTTTTCACAACAGCTTAGGTTTGTCGGACGTGCTACGACGAACGTAGTAATGCCTACGAATACTACGAGTGTCGTAGCAAATACCTACGCGTGCTACGAGATCGTAGCAGAGTCTGAATTATGATAGCATTATTCAAAGCCACTGATTGCATCATTTAAGAACTAAGTATACCCAGTACGTATTATTTTATATTTAGAAAAGTTAATTTGAACCTAGACTCGGAAGTACCAGAACAAAAATTTGTGGATCACGTAAAAAATTGTTCTTCGCGTGATATTATCCCACATGACTTGTTTATGTGTATATACGTGTATTCATAATCAGCCCACGTGCTTTTTAAGATACCAGCTCCAAATACATAAGTCAGTAAGCTCAGTAAGTAATAATAATATGCTTGGTATAACCTTGACAACAAGCTTTATAGTAGCATGAATATTTAATACTAAAGCAGATGTATATCAGTATCCCAAGTAAAACAAAATACATCACCTACACATATAGCGGTGAGGTGTAAGAATAGAAGTCAGTAAATATTCCCGTGGGTTTAACTCTAAGGCCCCATTCGCACAAGAGTTTTTTAACTTCGCGTTAAAACTGAGCGTTGACAAGTACAATTGAAATAAATTACATTCCATGTAATTTAATCTTTAATAACTAACGCCCAGCGTTTAAAATGTAATGCTGCTCGATAAAAGTACGTCACGTTTGAAAAGCGCTGACGTATGAACATTAAAATACTAGCAGATGAACTAAATAATGGTTTTTTGTTTAAAAAATTTTGGTTTACACTAGGATTTTCTCCTGTGTCGTTGATGCATTTACAAATAATTTCTCATACACGGAGTTGTTCCGTGTGGGAATCGTAGCGTAGCAGCCGATAGCCCAGCCATAGCTCATAACAACGCTATTTAACCTTCAAGCGGGCGCGCGTAGTCGAATCGACCGCGGTTAATACATTTTCGTTCGTATTTTTATTTTTAGTTGTCACATGCATTTCTAATTTCTAGTAGCCTGTCACTATCTTTTTAGGAGTAAAATAAAAACTATTTCGTTGCTTGAAGCGATCTCTACACTCCACAAATTACAATTATTTAGGCTCTGGCGCAGTCGTTGAAAAGACTACACGCGCCTGTCGTCGAATAGGTTACGCGCGACGCCCAACGCGACATACACATGTCAATATTATCTAATTCAGCTTGGAGTTTTGGTGTTTTAAAGCATTTTTTGTTTAAATAAGTCGTTTATGGTTATCGCAAAGTACAGTAATCGAGGAATTACAAAGAGAAGACGAAGAAGAGAGTGAATCAGAGCTTAGCAACCAAGGCTCTGAAACTTCTCATCACATAGTTTTAGAAGAACATCTATCTGATGTGATATCATCCTTGTCGGATTTAGATGAGAATAATTTGTAGCTTTCGGAAATAAATAGCTGTTTTACAGGACGCGATAAAGTAACGAAGTAGCAAAATCTGAAAAATTACTAGAATACTGACTCAGACGAAAATAAAATCAAAATTAATGAGTTTTTACAGTTTTATCCTTACTTTTTATTTATTTTTTGGTCTACGTATATAAACCAACCTAACATATGTAAACGGGTCTTAATTTTTATTTTGATCCAAAGAATATTTGAGTTACTTTAGGTGACTTAATAATTGCTTCTTTTTCATAATTTTAATTACTTGTTGTGACAAATTTCTCTTTAAAGACAATGATATTGTATCTTAGTACAAATTAATAAATGATTATCCCATAATTATTGCTTTCTTGGTCTTATTCATCCCATAGGTCTATTCGGTTACGCGCGCCCGCTCCCGTTACAAAAGACCGCGCGCCCGCTTGAAGGTTAAACGTGCGTTAAAAATCCCTTGTGCGAAGGGGGTCTAAGTGATTGGATTGACGACATCTCAGACAGATTACTACATGACAGTGGAGTGAGAGAATATTTTTACACAAAGTACTTGTAGATCTTGTTGTGGTAACTAGGTTACAGTAGGATCCCTTTTGTAAATGTGAACTTTAGATGTGGCTGTGTCGAGAGAGAGATTTTCGATTCCTTCAGAGAAAAGTATTAGATGAGGAAACTTCTGAGGATAGAATTTATGCTGTTAGGACTAGTTTCAGTATTGCAGTTAATTAATTAATTATTATATAAAATTGTGAATAATACACGTTTTTAAATTATCTTTCATTAAAGGTCCATGCCCAAAACCTTAAAGGTACTTACATTTTATTTTCTCATTCCCTACACCATTCCATTATATCAAACATTTAATCATTCACAATCAGATTAGTCAAGAGCGGTCTCATACTCCATATTAAATAAACGTTCCCGAAAATTCGCTTTTGATGGACAGATAAGCGAGCCCACAGATGATCACAAAACGGCTTCCTTTTCCTTAGAACTGTCGCTAAGAGATTTGATTAAAATCTGTCACGGACACAGCAAAACGCTTATGTATTTAATATCAGACGTTTAAGAACCAACAAGACATATTTACCTATTCAATTCGTTTATAATTCCACCGTACTCTGACAAAAATTCGGATTATCCGGACAATCTCAATATAACCGGTGCTTGAGTGACGCCTTTGAACGAGAACTCCTGAATAATTTATTACCGCTCGGTCTGACGTGACAGTGACAGCTTATGCTGCTCTTGTCTATGGTAGATATCGGTACGTCATCCGAACAACTGGGCCACAAGATTTTAGTCTGTACGTACTATAGAGCGTTAGGTCAGTTTCGTTCGAATTACGAATTTGAATGAGGACGAATATCGTTAAATGGGTCAATTCGTTTTATCAACTTACCAACCGATGGGAAACAAAAGAGAAAAGGTTCACAATTATTTAATTTATGAATTAAATATATTTTTGTAATTTTCGAATTATCCATCTAGTGTACATCAGACACATACTCCAAATAAGATCCATTTGTTCTACTTAAACATTAAGTTAGAGAGTTAAGCGCTTTTTAGGACTAAAACTTGACTTAATTTGAATAAATGAATTTAGAATTAAATAAACAAATTACACAAGCCTCCAATTGAAGTCTAGACAAGAAATTACCCCCTCACAAACTTACCTTAATTAGTTTTTAACTTTGTTTGAAAAAACGATCGACTTTACAATAACGAATCTTATACCTTCGAGTAAATTACGAAATCCGAGAAAAACCTTATAAATGTCGTCTATTATTTTGGTTAAAATTTCTTTCGTTATAAAAAAGCCGGTATTAGGTTGAAAAGACGGTCTGTAATACCGACAAATAACTGAATTAAGGCAATTTTCCTCATGAACTTATCAGCGAAAGTCTTCAGCGCAGGTGTGAGTCGGGGTTAATTTAATACAACCTCCTTGTTTGCCCTCAGCGTGCCTTTTATAGGTATTATTTGTCTTTTAAAGCACCTTTTTTTATTAAATTGATGATGAGGGCTGCGTTTATCATGCCTTGTAGGTACATTTTGTGAAAAAGACAACTTGTAACTTTTTAACTATTTCGTAACTACTATTGTGAAGTAAATTAAGTGTAATATCAAAGTGTTTATCAATTACTGTGCCATTAAATTTTTAAGCGGCTTTATACCCTAGTCGGGCAACAGCGGTGATTAGTGGTACCTAATTCGGTTTTAAAACTTTTGCTGAAGTAACTATTAAATAATTTTACCCCTTGCCGGATTAGATGGGATTATAGAAACTCAGCCACAAATATTTTACATTATCGTAATTTATTGAGTATGTATACAACCTTCATGCGTTTGGTTAACCTTAACTAGCCCTTATAATCTAGTTAGTTAGGCTGTGGAGACCGGTCCATTGTCACCTCTTTACACTCGACTTCACAATCAGCAGCCTGAGAATATTTTAGAGAACCTAATAAACCCTGTGTTATACAATATTTAATGTACTATAGCCTAATGTACATACCTACTCTCAGAGGAGGTTGGCTCAAAGAAGGTGTTTCGAAACTGAAAAACTATTAGATATATTTACCTAGATTTAGGGAAGGAACTTATAAACTTCTCCAAAGTAGAGAAGATTTTCAATTCGGTTCGTTCGAGAATCGAGATCTGAACCCGAGGTCTCTAAATGTGCAAAGTTTTAATTTCTACAATTAGACTATCGAAACAATATATTTTAAAAAACATCCTTACTAATATTATAAATCGGAAAGTGAGTTTGTTTGTTTGTTTGTTCCGCTTTCACGCCGTAACTACTAAATCGATTGCTTTGAATTTTTGCAGATGTACATTTAGAAGTCTGGATTAAATAATAGGGTTTAAACTTTTTATTCCGGAAAAATTTGATATTCTCGAGGGAAAACGAAATTATTGGTATAGATGGCGCTGTGTGTATCGGTATATGTCATATAAGCTACTTTTTATACTTTTGTGACGCGAGCGAAGCCGTGAGTAAAAGCAAGTATAGAATATTTTAAAAACTTCATCAATGTGTTACTTACCGTATAATTAGGTACGTTCCACTGGGCATAAACAAACTTATAAGAAAACCAGTGACACTACCAACTAAACAGCATAAACTGTCCAAGAACTTACAAGTTTTGTTTACCCAACAAACATAATCTGGCAATAATTATAACAAAAACAACACATACATAGATGTCGTCGCGATCACGTTAATACAATCACCGCGGTTTAATCTAACCAAAGTAAGCCAGTGCGGAGTGGCGGCGGCGCGCAATGTTTGCGCCCCGTGTTTGCCCGCCGCAGGCCCTATCCGTAATTATATTTAGCTGGAATGTGCCCAACATTTCTCCACTACCACTCAAATTAAACAAACATGAGATTTTGATATTTGCTTCCAGAAATATAGGTAGGTACATACCATATGTGTTATGTAACATTAATTTCGTCTTGCTGTGATACGTAAATTAAAACTGAAAGTTTTATGAAAAAAATTGATATTTGTGACTTGTCTTTCAGATTTGCATTGAATTTAAATCTATGTACGTATTCGTAGTAATACTTCTTTATGTTGTGAAAAGTGTGTCAACAAACAAATGCAGTTTCTTTTTTTTTCTTTTTTTTTAAGCGGGGAAAATCATCGAATGACTGCTCCCGCCTGGGTGAGGCGGGAGGGAGTGTCAGACTCTTACTGACTAAAAACTACCCCGTTCCTTCTCCTGCGCTTCGATCCGGAGCCCCGGTTACCCGTTAGGTTCTCCGCGACAAACAAATGCAGTAAGGAGACTAAAAGCCAGTAGTTATTTTATAAAAAAAACTAGCTTCTGCCGGTGACTTTACTTACTCTAATCAGAAATAGACATTATATAGGTATATATATTATTATATATCAATGCTCAACAAACTAGAAATCCTATATAAACAACAACTAAACAATACAAAGTGATCGAGTGGCGATAAGGGCTTCAACTACTTATTATAAAGTACTCGTTTACATCCTTTGTAGGACTAGATTGGATTTGAAGTAGATATCCCATCTATATTCGTGATTTGCGCTTGTAATTCCAATATTTCTAGTAAGTACTTAAAGTACTCAAATCTTAAATCATACTAATCTGCTTTATCAAAACTCATCTTAATAGATCTCAGTTCGAAAATAAATTTCAAAAATGAAATTTTTAATTTAATCTAATGTAGGTACCTACTGTTTCTTCTCTGTAGAAGTTGTCTAAAGAATCTAAAAAGTCTAACTCTAAAGAAGTCTTCTTTAAGTTGAGATAAGGACGTAGCTAATGGACGTTGCTACGAAGTACTACGGCGTAGCAATATTGTAACCGGTCTTCGTAGCTTTTAATTACGTATTATTAAGTAAGCATG